GTGACGGGGGGTGGGGGCCGCGGAGGAGAGTGGCGGTGGGGTCGGGCCTTCCTCGTCTTACTCGTGCCTCCCCCCGGCATTCTGTGAGGGTTTGCCTCCCCTTGCAAGCGCCTCTTTGTAGAGAAGGAGGGGCAGCACGGGGGAGAGCTGGGCTCGGCCTTGCCCTGGGCTCGGCCTTGCCCTGGGCTGAGCGTCCGGCGGGTCCTTGCAGCTCTTCGGGGTGTTCGTGCGTGTCCGTGTGGGTTTTGGCATGCTTGGGCTCCCTGAACTTTTACGGGTCAAAATAAGCACCTTCCGTTCCCCGCAGGGTTGTTTCTTTATAGTGACTCAGGAAACCCATGTAATGGTCATATTACCAGCTTTTAAACCTGTAACTGGGTTGAAAGCTACTTTGTCATTACTGTTAAAGGTAGGTGATGTTTTCAGACACTTGCTCTGAGTTGGTGACAGGATCTGGCCAGGATAGTGTTATTTAGCTTTTTCTTTATAACGCCTAACTGCTTTTTAAAGGACATCTGTTTGCCACATGTGTGCTACCATTAAGTAACAATCACAAAACTAGCTTTTTGGAAGTAAATAACGTTAACAGATTAAAAAAGTGATGATAATTTAAGTATAATGATACTGATGCTTAGTGCTTGGCTGGAGTGTTTTTGCTTGGAGAGCCAAACTGTTTTAGAAGGGTGAATCTTTCATTAGCAGGCATCTAAAATTGCTAGTCCATTGAGTCTGGCTCTTGCATTGTATAGAAACTCCATTTTACCAAGTTTCCATACAGTTTTTAGTCAAAGTAGGGAATCATGTACATATACTTTCTTCAGTATGTCTAGTATCTTCTTTCTCCAATCTTGAGTCACATGTAGGGATGTGCATAGTGGGAAACATTGCAAGGAATGTGTGTTTCCTCAGACAAAACTTGATCTGGATATAGAACTACTATCTAGTCTGTTCCTCTGTTGCCTAAGAAAATATTTGTGCTAGAAGTCATGACTATATGAATACTCTTCTTTAAGGACTGTGTTGGCGATTGCTGGAGAAGACTTTTCTATCGTTGCCTCTGACACACGACTGAGTGAAGGTTATGCAATTCACTGCCGGGAAAGTCCAAAATGTTACAAACTGTAAGTCCAGATCTTGTAAGAATTGATACAGATCAAAGATATTTTATATTGATGAGCATGTCACCTGCGTGGAATGATCTATCACTTTCTTTAAGCAGAATCCTCAGAAAAAAAGGATAGTAACAAAATTGATTTTGGAGTCACGGTGACTCTTGCTGTAATGCAGGATGTGATGGTGTAAATACAGCCAGATTTCTTGTTGCATGCTCTTGAAGTTAGCTGATAACAGAACATTTTTAGCATGATACAAGGCTTAATGTAAGCTAGGTGGTTTTTTTGCTGGATAATCAGAAGAACTTTTGTCTTAACTGTAGCAAAACTTAATCCTGTGGTAACTCGTTCTGCTTTGTCAGGACACCTGATGTTGGTACGCAAGCGTGCCCACTGCTGCTAGTTGTACTGTGTCTCTCTAGTCCACTATCTGGCACTTTGAAGAGGTGTTTGTTTTAGGAGAGGTAAACCTGTCAGTAGTTCCATTATTGAACTTTTTATGCTCACTGTATGCTTTTCTTGACTCCCCTAGGTTTAAAAATACATATTGTTTACATTCCTTTGACTGTAGCAGGTGCTTACCTAGTAGGCTGTCATCAGCTATGTAAACAATTTTTTTGTGTTTAGGTTTGGTTTTGGGTTTTTTTTTTTTAATAGATGACACAAGATCATATGAACTTATGTTTCTCCTGGCTAACTCCTTACTATATCTTTGACTCTCTGATACTGTCCAAATGGAAATTACTATGGTACAGTCTGCATACTGCACATGATGGCTTTGTGTAATTGTGGTGACAGGCTGAGAGAAGATTTCAGTTTAAATTGTTTTCTGAATGACTGCTTTGTGTTAGTCTGTAAGTATGCGTGAATGGTTGTAGACTCTCACTAATTTACTAGAATTCAAATTTC